GGAGGGGGCAATCTCCTCCTGTACCAGTCAGATCTGATTTGACAGTACACGTAAAAAAAAAAAAAGAATTGGCAAAAAGCACCCCCACAAGCAAGCTCATTGCTTTTTTTTTTTTTTAATTTTGTGTACGTGTACCGTCAAATCAGATCTGACTGGTACAGGAGGATATTGCGCCTCCTTCTCCGGCAGAGTGTCTGGTGGATTCGAACCGTGTTCCTCTGGGATTGCAGTGCAGCTTCTTGCCACTAGGCCACCAGAGCTCCCCTAGCTCATTGCTTTTAAGTAGTAATCCACTCATAGCTGACCCTCCCGAGGGTTTTCAGAGGCTGTAAATGGCGAAACAGGAGGTCGCCTATCTTTCATGTGTAGTTATATGCATAGTTAGTTATTCAGATGGAAAAGAATCATACAACACATTTCTTCCTGAGAAGGCCAAAGAGTTACAACCCAGATAGGGTTCCTATCTTAAGCCCCCCAGTGCTTGCAGGAAGACTGGCATAGCTCTGTATATAAATGAGCTAGAAAGAAACATGAGATGGGCGTGCACAGCATTGAAGATTTACATTTCAATAACCAAAGAGTGACAGCACTTGGAAACACATCTTAGAACACAAGGGGCCATCCAGCCCCTGGGCAGATTTTATTTCTGTACCAGACGGCTGGGATAAGGAGCAGACTCTTCCAGAAGGGAATGGAAACAGCTGTCTTCTTACCCTTTTAATGGGAGAAAACACTTTCCTTCATTGCTCGGGGCGTATGGCTGCTGGCATGGAACAACTGGCTCACTTCTCTTTCTGTCTTCCAGGGAGTAAGGATGAGGACAAAAGGAGACAGGAACATGTTACGATCTACTGTGAAGTATCTGGCTGCAGACCTGACGGCGCAGCGTGTAGAGCTTTGGATTGCTAATCAAAATGTTGATGGTTCAGAGTTACCTGTGGGTCTGAGGAGGAAAGATGGGTGATTTGCCTCTGTTAAGGCCTCTTCCTGTAAAGATTGATAGACTCGGGAAGCAGATGGAGGATCATTATAAATAGAGATTGACTGGCTGGCAGTTGGGGGAAAAGTGGGTGAAGTGTTTAATAAAGTCTCTCTGCTCAGGAACACCTGTGTGTACATTTGAGATAAAAATCACAGAGATTAAATATTTTAAAACCCCAGTACAGTCAAAGAGAAAGTCCAAAGGGGAAATGAAGAGACTGAAATAGAAATAGAAAGAACTCTGAGCGAGTCAGAGAAAAAGAGGACCCAGGATAAGGCTGAGGGAAGCTGAGAGAGAGGGAGAGGGAAAGAGAGAGGGGGAAAAAGAGAGGGGAAAAGCGAGAAACCACTGAGTGTGTGAGGGAACTTATTCATCACATCTGTGTGGTGCACATTTCATTCTGGAGACAAGTAGTCAATAAAACTTATATTTTGGTAGGGAGAAATCAGACAATAAACTCCCCCCAAACGAGGTATATTGTGTATCAGATGATGATAAGTGTGATGGAGAAAAATAGGGGAGTGAGATATTGGGAAAGATGTTAGATTTTTAATCAGGGAATGAAGAAAGATTTCATAGAAAAAGTGACCTTTGAGTAATGATCTAGAGAAAGAGATGGAGAGAGGCATGGAGTATGTATGGAGAGGCATGGAGTATGTATGGAGAGGCACGGAGTATGTATGGAGAGGCACGGAGTATGTATGGAGAGGCACGGAGTATGTATGGGGAGGCACGGAGTATGTATGGGGAGGCACGGAGTATGTATGGGGAGGCACGGAGTATGTATGGAGACGCACGGAGTATGTATGGAGACGCACGGAGTATGTATGGAGAGGCACGGAGTATGTATGGAGAGGCATGGAATATATGTTCCAGCGCTGTAAGCTTTTTCATTCCATTGTTGTTAGGTGCAGTTGAGTTGAGTATAACGTTTAGCAACCCTATGATCAGCAGTTCTAAATTCTGTCCTATCCTGTGCCATCCCCATCATTTCTTACGTATTTGAACCCGTTGCTGCAGTTTTGGTGTCAATCCATCTGGTTTTTCTCTCTTTTGTTGACCCTCCTCTTTTCCAAGCATGATATCCCTCGTCGAGGAACAGCCTCTCCCAGAAAAATGTCCCCCAAATGTGCAGTTGTGTACACATCTCCATCAGGGGCTTTTGTCTACTTCTGTAAAAATCATGGCTAAGAGTCACTGGAAAACTTTTGTTATGATACTGATGGTTCCCCAAGTTTTCTTAGTTCTGTTTATATTTTCATAAAGGAACTCTGCTGGCCTGGTAGGTCCAGGGAGTTGCATAGCCAAGCCAAAGCCTGGTGATTCTAATCCACCCACTGCTTTGTGGCAGGATGGTCAATCCCTTCCTGTGAGACTTAGACTCTTAAAACCTAGTGAGTCAGAGCTGCAATGACAGACACATAGATAAATGGAATAGAATTGAGAACCCGGAAATCAGCCCATCTATTTATGGGCAA